AAGTAACCAGTTGCTCTAAATCAAGGAAGATCTACTTACAATGGTGGCGTTCATACTTTGTCCCATTCGATGCGTATTCCAAAACCAGCATCCTTGTAAGTGGAGTGCTCTCTCTGCAATACCCCAGTAATTTTCCTATATTCTCATGATTTAATCTTGCCAGATCAGCCACCTGAATCATGCAATAGCTTAATCCATTGTTTGATGCCTTTCCGAAGTTGGTTTTCGATATACATCCTTAAATAGATTGTTAAAATTTCATGTATGTATATTTGTACCCTTGGCGATTCTGCATTTATACGCCCATAGGGAGAGTAATGCCGTACATACCACATTGTGGCGTAGGGCGCTGTTTAAGATCAGTGTGTTGAAGGCAGTTCCCTTGAAAGCTACACTGATCAGCTGATGGTATATAAACATGAGCACATACATACACAAACACAAGTAATTGAAGGGAAAACAAAAAGTGAAATAGTTTTAATTACAGTTGTATATTTCTGATTTACAGTGTGTTAGCTTTGAGTCAGTTAGGATAGGATACAAGTGCAAGCTCAACCCATGCCAAAGAAGATGTTTTCAGTTCAGCAGATACAGAGATGTCAACATCACTCTACAACTTTTCACAGAGTTCTGACAATTCGTGTCGAGAAATTCCTTAGCCTGCAGAAGAGGGAGAAGACTTTTGGTGTACTCTTTCTCGGTGAGAATTCCAGTTCTCCACAATGACAATGTTTAAATCCCTTGAAGACTAGCTTTAAAAATCTGACATATATTTAAAATTAAAAGGTTTCCATGTTCTTACCCTATGGATCTACTAAAAGTTCCTATCCCAGAAACAGTCCCTTGAAGCCTATTTCTATCCCAGTAAAAGTTCATCAAGGTAATTTAAGTTGCCCAACAGCGTGGCAGCCTCCCAGTCAATCCATTTTGAAGGGTTTTTGCAATGGCAAAAATTAAGGCCAAAAAGAATCAAACATTGAAGTGGAATACATAAAACACAAGTTTGAAACTACACTTACATTTGTATAATGCTCTGGTTAAATTCCCAATCAAGGAGGAGGAATCAAACCAGATAGCTGATTCACTCATAAACCCAAAACTTGGAGGAATTTCAACATATATGCCAATCTGTTTTGGTATTCTACTGTAAAAAACATCAGCATATCAGATTAGGCTATAATCTTAAGATTATATTCTAAACAGTATAGGTGAAACTACAGAAGATATTTTTGGAAAATCAGAATTCTACAAGCATGTTGAGGAGTAGCAGCTAACCAAATGATCAAACACAATGTGGGCAAGTACTTACATGTTGGTTCCAACAATTGGGTACAAGATTGAGGAGTACCTCACATCTTCAGCATCAACATTCAAAGGTATCAGCTGGACACCAAATCCAATCAAACCATCTCTGATCTGATCCACAGCTCGGGTCACCCAAATCCCACAACCTACTCACATATATTGATCCATCTCCTTCACTTGCTGATTCAATCCCAACTCCAACTGTCAAACACACGCACAATCCACTACTCCAACTCCAAACCAATACTCTATTTCGCTCACAGATTCCTTTTCTCGTTCACAGGCTTGCTTGCCTCTACGATTGAACAACTGGTAACGGTCGTAAATACTCCGTAAATAACAATTCCCGTAAAACATACGCAACCTAACCGAAATAAGCCTTAAAATTAACACACAAAATGAATTTGATAGGCCGTGACCTTTCTGACACCTTTTTGACGTGATCTCGAGCTATAGAAAAGTGAGAAAAACGCGGGCAAGAAGCCATTTAAATAAACTGCATTGTATCAACGAAAATTTGCAACACACACTCACTCTCCACTTCGTGCTTCTGAGTGCTTCTGTATCTCAGAAGAGTACACACATATAAACTGCATATATATATATATATATATACACACGGAAGAACTCTTTTCTCTCAACGTCGCTAGTCTGCCCCAAGCGTACACCACCACCACGGCGTCTATAAATCTCACTTTTTCTCTCCCCTCTCTCTTTTCCTGAGAATCTCTGGAACATATTTTCTCTCTCATCTCACTTAATTCCCATTGTCAATTTCTCGATCGCACTTTCTCTCTCCATCGGCCTCCCATCGCAATTTCTCGATCGCACTTTCTCTCTCCATCGGCCTTCCATCGCAATTTCTCGATCGCACTTTTCTCTCTCCATCGGCCTCCAATGGCGTTACTTCCAGAGCAAGTGCCTTTGCTTCACAACGAAGTTGGAGTTGGCGGTTACCTACAGCCACTACAAGCTTCCTCCAGAATTCCATTGAAGGTATGCTTACTTCTACGATTTTGCTAATATTTTTCTGAAACATATTTTCTCTTTCATCTTCGGATCACAAGTTCTCGCACTTTCTCTCTCCATCAGCCTTCAATGGCTGCATTACTTACAGAAAAATTGCCTTTGCTCGGGGACGAAGTTGGAGTTGGAGGACTCTGATTTTAGCCAATTTTTTTATACATAAAATGACTCTAATTGCGGCACGGATCTATTGTATTTTCCATTTTTTTTTTTTTTTTTTAAGAGTATTATACCCTAATATTTTTATAATTTTGATATATATCTTTAAATTTATACTATTTCCCCCTTGAAATTAGTAAAAAATTTCACATTGCCCCCACTAACTTATGTTTCTGGATCCGTTGGTCCAACATTACATGTAAGTTTGATATACATGATACATCTAAGCATCTCTATGTTTATCTTTGAATAAGATTTTATTTTTTTTTTTTATTTATTTATTTTTAACATTCAATGACTCTGTTTAGTCCAACATTCATCTAAGCATTTTTTTTTTTTTGTTTTTTTTTTTTTCTTAACATTAAGTTTGATATACATCTAAGCATCTTTATGTTCATCTTAAAATATAATTTTTGCCTTTTTTTTTAACATTAAATGTGATTGGTCCAACATTACATAAGTTTGATATACATCTAAGCATCTTTATGTCATCTTTGAATATGATTTTGGCCTTTTTTCTTTTTCTTTTTTTTTACATTAAATGACTCTTGTTTGGTGCAACATTTAACGCAAGTGCTTGAACCTACATCTTGAACACAAGTTGAGTTTGATAAACATCTAAGCACAAGTTTATCACAACTTAATTTTGAACATAAAATGACTCTAATCTGTCCAACATTCTAAGCAAGTGTTAGAACCTACTAGGTCTAGTATATAAGTCTGATATACATCAAAGCATGTTTTCCCCTTACGTTTATCTTAATTTGTATCTATATCAAAGCATGTATCTGTAAGTAAATTCTACACGTCGTTCCTTTCCATTTATTGCTGTCTAAAGAGATTTTAGTGTCAATAAATTACAATAGTTCTGAGTATAAACAGTTTAATTATTTCTATTAGAACTAATTGATTTTCTTTATCAATCTTAAAGATGTTTTTAAGTTTGGACCAATCTAAACGTGTCAGAGTCATTTTATGGTTTACTGAGGGCATAATCATCTTTGTCGTTAAAATGGAATAAAACTGTAACTTAATTTCATCAATTATTTGCACAGATATGTTGAAATAAATTCACATTTTTGTCAAAAAGGATACATAAAAAGTTTTATCATTCAACTAATTCTACTTCAACTTGTAGGATTGCTCTATCTTTCATTAGTCTATTTTAACTTAATTGATGGATTTAATGGCTGGCGTGATTTTATAGATCTCTGAATTAGTATGATAATTCACAAAAAAAAAAAAAAAACACAAAAATCATACTTCAAGTTAATTTCATCTTATCATAGGAATTGTGTTAGATAAGACTCTCACCATTTTATACATGATTTTTAAGTTGTTTGACTACTCCATTTATGAATGTTGGCAACATTTGATATAGTTAAGGGTTGAAGCGCATTGATGATGGCAGTGGACTCCACTTAATGAATTATTCTTTTAATTCAGAAAATTTGTGTTATTTTTATTTTTTCAATTTTTTTTGTGGTTTGATAAGAGGCTAATATTGTTACGAGTATTATTTAAAAATATTACGTGGTTGTGTAAAGATAAGGCTATTAGAATGACCAAGTGGTAATATATATGTTTTGGTTTATGCTTTCATATTTACTTGGGACCAGTCCACAAGGACCACCGGTGAAATAATATGTAATGGGATAACAATTCAACAAATAATGTTGATACACTGGTTCAACATTTATTTATTTATTTGTTTAAAGACTAATTTGAAGTAGCTGCATATCAATATCAAAATGGACCACCTGCATATTAACAAAGGAGACCTTCTATGCAATGGAAAGATTAGGAGAAAGTGAGTGAAGTAATTTTAACAGCTTAGAGGACTAGTGGAATTTATATAAAGTGTTAGTGAACCTAATATTTGAATGTAACCTTCCTCTTAATTTGTTGTTTATTTATTTTATTTATTTCTATTTTTACACAGATATTTTTTGGAGTGAGCGCTGTTATTCTAGAGGTGTTATGTTGTGCGTTCGAGGAAGAAGCGGCTAAATCAGGCTTCATGGTTTTTCACTGGCTAGCACTAGGAACAGCTATCAGCATATTTGTTCTGGTGGTAGTGGAATTCGTCAAAAGCGTCCAAGCAGAGGAAGCCACTTGGAGTTGGATAGTCTTTTGATACCCTCCAGTTGGAGATGAGCAACTTGGCAGGGTGTACGGACCGTAATTCAGTATATGGGTTTTTGTTTTGCACTCTTATATGTGTTATTGTCATGTCTTGCTGAAGCTCAACGTATACCTTTTTCACCATGTTTGGTGAACACTCCACCAGTTACTATTTACGCTGCCGGGAGAGAGGGGATCTACTTCTGACCGTTTACCACCGCCTTGGCCATGCATTGTTTTTTCCGTGCGTTGCTTGCGCACGAGGGGTATGCCAACGTCGTACTGATATGGAGGCACCACCAGTGCTAGTCTTCCCGGGTCTCCTAGCCCAAGCATCCGATCCCCCTATGGACAAAGAGCCTGATGACAATGATTTGGAGGGAGCTCTAGCCCTGCTTTTTGCAGACCCACGAGGCTACGCAAGTCTTACACTTCCCAGCTCCTGTGGCTCCAGTGGACAGCAGTGATTTGGAGGTACCCGCACTACTCTTGCATATTCCAGTTCCAGCTCCTACAATTCCAACGGATGATGTCCCAGTTCCTACAGAGGCACCCACACTACTCTTGCACATTCCAGTTCCAGCTTCTGCGGCCCCAACTGACGATGTCTCAGTTCCTATGGCCCTGGCAGACGGTGTTGATTTGGAGGTACCCGCACTACTCTTACATATTCCAGTTCTAGCTCCTGCAGCCCCAACCGACGATGTCTCAGTTCCTACGGGCCTAATAGACGATGTTGATTTGGAGGCACCCGCACTACCCTTGCACATTCTAGTTCCAGCTTCTGCAGGCCCAACCGATGATGTCACAGTTCCTGCGGAGGCGCCCGCACTACTCTTGCACATTCCATTTACAGCTCCTGCGGCCCCAACTGACAATGTTTCAGTTCCTACGACCCTAGCAGACGGTATTGATTTGGAGGCACCCGCACTACCCTTGCATATTCCAGTTCCAGCTCCTGCAGCCCCGACTAATGATGTCTCAATTCCTGCGGAGGCACCTGCACTACTCTTGCACATTCCACTTCCAGCTCCTGCGGCCCCAACCAACAATATCTCAGTTCCTACAGCCCTAGCAGACGGTGTTGATTTGGAGGCACCCGCACTACCATTACACATTCCAGTTCCAGCTCCTGTGGCCTCGACTGATGATGCCCTAGTTCTTGCGGAGGCACCCGCACTACTCTTGCACATTCCAGTTCCAGCTCATGCGGCCCCAACCGACGATGTCTCAGTTCCTACGGCCCTAGTAGACGGTGTTGATTTGGAGCCACCCACACTACCCTTGCACATTCCAGCTCCAGCTCCAGCTCCTGCAGCCCTAACCGAGGATGTCTCAGTTCCTACGGCCTTAGCAGACGGTGTTGATTTGGAGGCACCCACATTACCCTCGCACATTCCAGTTCTAGCTCCTGCGGCCTCAACCGAGGATGTCTCAGTTCCTTGCGGAGGCACCCGCACTACCCTTGCATATTCCAGTTCCATCTCCTGCAGCCCCGACTGATGATGTCCCAATTCCTGCGGAGGCACCCGCACTACCTTTGCACATTCCAATTCCAGCTCCTGCAACCCCAACCGACAATGTCTCAGTTCCTACGGCCCTAGCAGACGATGTTGATTTGGAGGCACCGCTCTTACAGCAGTTCCCAGAGCCAGGGGACTAGGCCGACCAAGGTGTCGATTTTCGGGGAGCACTAGGGATACTTGGCAGCATACTTCTACTCTATGTTGGTCTGAGTGCATACTTGCCAGCATACTACTACTCTATGTTTGTCTGGGTACCTTGTTATCAGTTGGATGAATTATTGCATGTGCATGAGTTTTTGTGTTTTCTAGTATATGTTGTTGACATTAGTTTCATTTGCACGTGCATGCAAAACTCTTTAAAAAAAAAATTCAGGGTCATTCCGATCTCCAATGGTCCAAGTTTTTGTGTTTTGTAGTATATGTTGTTGACATTGGTTTCATTTGGGCGTGCATGCAAAACTCATTACAATAGAGAAAAAAAAAAAATTCCAGGGTCATTCTGTAATCCAATGGTCTGGTCCAAGCTTGCCACCACACAGGGCATCAACTGCCACTGCCACTGATTCATTCTAATTCTTCAGCTCTAATTTCTTCCATACCTAAAATAAAAAATAAATAAATAACATAAACTTCAAGTAGTACAAAAACTAACAATTGAGCTTAAGAACAAAGTATTTAATTTGTCCCACTTGGTGGTGGGTCATTTGAAAAATACCGTTTCCATCACTATTAAGATACATAACATGTACTGTATAGACTGCTAACTAGTAGTAGTAGTACCATATCAAATTAACAAAGTATTTTTTAAATTCTCTTAATTAATTAGACCACAACTGATCCTACAACACAATGAAAGATCAAGTGAAACAATTGTAAGACTACAAAAGCTGAGAAAAGTTGAAGCAACTCACTGACAATCTTGGAAGAGAGAGAACTAATTGAAAGATATCAACAAGTTCAAGCAGCAAAATAAAAATACAATTAATATATTGTAATTTTCACTGATATTGCAGATTGTTTGGGTAATTTCCAAACAAAAAATAGATGCACATGAGGTTCATCAGTTTTGTTTCATCAATTAGTCATTATGTTAGGGCGCAATCAAGACACACTAGGGAAGGGAAGACACCTAACTTGCTGATGAGATTGTACCTGTTGCCATAAACACATCATGTAACTATGTTTCATGTGACTATGGCAAGTGCTCTCTTTTATTCCTAATAATATTAGCTACTTCACAACCCTGCTAACAAAAACAGGGCATAAAAGAACAAAGAAAAATACAATTTAAAAAAGGATATTCAACAGTCCAACAAAATATAATTAAAAAGTAGCAGCAGCAAAATATAGTTAAAATGTAGCAGCAGCAAATTCACTTCTATTCTCTATAATATGGACAAGCGAAATACAAAACAAAGTATGTGTTTTACCTTCCAAGGTAGCAGGCAGCAATATCGGTTCAATGAACAGCAAGCTGAAAGAAAGCCATAGTCGGATAAGTATTTCCATGTATCAAGAGGAAAAAAAAGAAGAAGTTATAGTATCATCAATAAAGATACTGAAACTAGAGGACAAAAAAAAAAAAAAAAATCAAATGATTTGTAAAAGACAATGAGATGAAGAACATAATCAAATCAAAACCCAAAAAATTATAACATCACTAATTAGACATTCAGTCCATGAAAATTCAAGGATATACAAGACAACAATGGCGAGTGACTACAAGACACTAACAAACCCTATTTACCCAAAAAATTATAACATTACTGATTAGACATTCAGTCCATGAAAATTCAAGGATATACAAGACAACAATGGCGAGTGACTACAATAAACTAACAAACCCTATTTACCCAAAAACAAATTCTAAGTCGACAAAATAGTTTATGTGACATTGAGATATAGAGAGATCAATCGAAGCATGTTTGTAGCAGAATCAAACCAACAGTTGGTACCAGGAAAAAGGAAATGTCAGAAGAAGCAGAGGCTTGGTAGAATCATCATCTAAGATGGTATGAGCTTCTCCACACCACACCCTAAAGAGCTCCCAGAAAATCATATAACAAATAAACTACATATCCATACATAAACCCTAAAATCAATCTAAATTATGAATTATGTATCCATAAATAAACACTAAAAACATAGTCAGGTAATTCAACCAGTGGAAAGGAAACTCACCCCAACAATCCCATCCTTGCATTTAATGCCGACAATAGTACTGTAAACAAACAAACAAATTACAATATTTATAACTATGTACGCATATATAAGCCCTAATAAAACCAGAATACAGTAATATTATATATAGATAGAGAACAGACCCACTGTTATCAACGGCCTTGGCTGTGAATTCGATCAGGTACTTTGAGAAGAACACGAAGAGAGGGTTTATGTCATATTAGAAGATTTTTCAAAATCAATTGAAGGATAATTTAGAAAGGAGAGGGTTTGCGTCATATTACAATGAGGCTTGCGGGCTTTGCTTAGTTCGTTTATTAGATGGTCTGGCCTGAGGTTGTTTTGAGACCATGGAATTATTGGAACCCAGCCTTGACGGCCTGCCCAAAATTCTATTATAAATATAAAAATATATGTCACATAAATAATAAATTATATATATATATATATATATATATATATATATATATATATATAATATAGTTTTTGGTGCAAATTAATGTCCTAAAATTCAATTTATGTGGCTTACCTGCAAAACCATACCTTCGGTTTAGCATGAGTTGAAAATTATAAGTAAAATCTTAAAAATACCCTTTTGACATGATTAAAATGCCCCTTCCCACATCATATACATAGCAATAGATTTTCATCTCTCAGCTCTTTTAGATGCTTGATAACTCACGATATTGTAGTCAAAGCCTTTAGTATTTTCAATTTCATTTCAAAATAAACAAATGCACTTAATCTGCAACAAACCATTTCGTCCTGTGCATAGATATTATATTTTAAAAAAAAATTATTTTAGATACACAAATTTGATGAAGAAAGGAGATACTGTGACAAAATAACTACTTGACCACCAAATTCAAGATACACAAATTTGTTTTTTTGTTCTCGTAATAATTAAAAATAAAAAAAATTGTCAAAAGAGACCTAAAATATTAAATATTAGAGATAAAGAGAATAAATTTGAAAGGACATTTATGTGATTTAAAAAGTAATAATTATTTAGTTGTAAATTTAGATTAGAATTATTATTTTATTTAAAATTATAAAAAACATTGAAAAGTAGAGAACGAATGACCCTTCCCTACTTTTGAAGATGCAAGAAATTCATTCCCTCTTTCTCTCTCTAGAATTCTTACACTTCAACCAAAAGATCCCCTTCTTCTTTCCATTCGTTCCCTTATTTATAGATATTTACAAGATATTTACAAATATTGACGGATTGCTGGATCTGGGCCTGTTCCTCCATAAGTCCTGGTCACCTTTGATGGGCTTATTCGCGTTCGGCCCATATGGCAGTGTCTTTTTATGGGCCGACCCAGCTGTACGGACCGGATGTCGTGCTTGCAAGTCAGATCCGGCCCATGTCGTCCTGGGCCTCCTCAACTGCCCCCATAATTGCCCCTTATTTAATAAGGGGGTAATTATTGATGGCGTCTCATCATAACGTTGACGGCTCGAGAAAACCACGTGGGGGAACGGACGGTCAGATCCAGAATCAATGTTCCGGGGCTCGAGGAATTTCTCGCCTTCCCGACGCTTCGGCCCTCGGGCCCCCCTCGCCTTTATAAGGCTCTAGAATACCACTTCACGTCCTTTTACCGTCTCCATCATCAGTCAAATCTCTCTCTTTCTAGAACAGTGCTAAGCTTTTTCTGGTGAAATCCTTCAAGAGTCATTCTTCCAGCGATCTTGCAGTCCTCTGAGGTTAGTTTTGTTCCTTTTTACTTTCGGCAGGCTTCTATTTACCCCCTTTTAGATCCTTCAAGCACTTCCACCATGGTTGTAGATCTGGATGTTCTTCGTATGAGACTTAGACTTCCTGACAACATCGAAGTTAGGGTTTGCCCTCAGGACGTTAACATTATGACCGGTGCCGGCCTCCTGCCCGGCGAAGTCTTATTCACGAACCTTCAATTGAATGTTGTTAGGTTCCCTCTGCACCCTTTCTTTAGTTATGTCTTCAATAGATTGGGGATATCCCCCCTGCAGGTCAACCCCAACTTCTTTAGAATCATATCCGTTATGCTCCTATTGATGCGTGACAGAAATCTGGACCTTGACCTCATAGACCTTCTTCTGTGCTATAAGGTCAGTAAGATCCGTACTAACGAACCCTTCTACCACCTCTACCCGTTCAAGAAGATGTCTATATGTACGGACACAATAAAATCTGAAAAGGGCATTAGTGGGGCTTGGTCTTCGCCGGCTGCAGAGGGTTACCCAATCCCGAGCGCCTTTGGTGCCTGTTCTGTCTCCTCCTATAAGAAATTCAAATCTCATAAACATGATTGCCCCTGCGAAACATGCGTTCCCCGTTTTTGTACTTTCTTATGCCGTTCCTTAGGAATACCTTGTGATGACTTGAGCTACAGTGTTTGCAGGGATATGAGTAATTACTTGAAGAAATACGTTCTGAACGATATTCCTTCCTGCTCAGATCTCCTCACTTCAGACAACCTCTTAGCGCTCTCATCACTCGGCTACAACATGAGCAGGCTTCAGATTCCTTCTTTTGGCAGGAAGAAAAATACTCCCCCAGCCACTCCTGCTGCTGGGGCGACCTCCTCTCCAGCATCAGCCTCTTCCTCAGCCACCATCTCTGACACTATCCCGAGCACAGTGGCTATTAACTCTGTTGTCAGTACCCCTGCTGCCAACCAGAGCGCGTCTCCCCAAACTACCACAGCTCCTGCTGCTGCGGGGGGCGTTCGGGACAAAGAACGAGGCAAAAGGCCTCATCCTGACAGTGAAGTCGATCCTGAGGAGGAGCCTCTCATAAGAAGGACCCGGGTCTCCGGGCCGGGTGCTCTCTTGCACCGTGCGATCAGAGCTCCTGCTCCCTCTGGGCCTACTGCAGCTGGTGGCTCCGCTTCTGCTTCAGGCCCCCCTTCTATCCCCACCTTACCGCCATGGGCCCCTCGGTACACCCGAACGGATAGGACGTTCGTGAAACCGAACGAGACCATGCTGAAGGATGGCCAGACCGCCATGGCGTACTATAGGAGCATGTGGACTCCGAAAGACCTTGAGGCGGCAAAGGGCCTGTCCCAGAAGGATGTGTTCAGCCGCTTTCCCCAATCTGCTATGGAGGTGACTTTTATTTTCCAACTCATGAATTCTCTCATATTATTTGGTCTTGCCTTCGCCCGACCTGACTATTGGCTTAACCGTTCTTAATGTACACCTATGCAGACATTGTTCGGAATGATGGCTATGCAGAAGCAGGTGGAGATGGGGAACGCCAAGGCTCGTAAGTTTTCTGATAGCCTGGAGGTGGTTAATAAAGAAAACGACCTTCTCGCCATGAAGAATACCGAGGTACTGGCTCGGCTTGAAAAAACTGAACAAGAGAGAGATGTCCTGAAGAAGGAGAATGACTCTCTTCAGGATGAGAAGGATGCCCTCCAGCTTGAAAAGAGTGTCTGGCAGACTGAGCGTGACTCAATCAGAGACGAAAAGGCAGAACTCCAGCGCCTTCTGGCTGATGAACAGTCTGCTCGGATGGCTTTTGAGAAAAGAGCTCTGGACGAGCGTACCGCTCTGATCGATGCGATCAGCAGAGTGAACGGTGGGATGCTGGCTCTTCACGCTCGGTTCTCAAGGGTCGGTGCTCTTAGATATGCTCAAGGATTCCGGGAAGGTTTCGCCGACCGAGTTCCGGATGAGGGACAGACTAGTTCCACTCCAGATGAGGTCGACAAGGATCTAGGGATCGAACCTCTGGGGGTCTATGTCAACCCAGAACCCACCGAAGCGGAGCGCATATTCGATGAGTGCCAGGACATTGCTTCCTCAAGGATCATCACAGCTCCTCCTACCGCTCTGCCTCTGACCGCTCCTCAATCGTCAACTGTGGTACCTTCCATAGCCACTGCTGACGCTGAGCCCCAGCCGAACGATTTAGTCATTCATCTTGATTCCCCACCTCGTGAAGGTGAGACGGCTGATGGGGCCGAGGAGGCGGGTCGGCACAACCAGGATGCTGTTGGTACTGAGGCGTCTAGCTAGGGCTCCTTTGGACTCTTCCATTCCATATCTTTTTGTAACGATGGACATCTCACTTTTTGTAAACTCAATGCTTAATATCAATGAAATGACAGAACTCTTTTTCCCTTTGTGTTGTGCTCTGTTCAACCTATTTTCAATACATATATATCTTTTCTCTCTTTTCTTTTATATTAGCTTTGCCGTGTGTTTGTTTATGGCAAGTGCCTGGCGCTCGGCTAGAATGTCACTTGCCACTTGGTTTTAAATTTTTAGCAAGTGTCTGGCGTTCGGCTTATGGTGCCAGCTGCCACTTATCTTGCTTAAGTGCCTGGCGCTCGGCTAGAATGCCACTTGCCACTTGGCTTTAAATTTTTAGCAAGTGTCTAGCGTTCGGCTTATAGTGCCAGCTGCCACTTATCTTGCTTAAGTGCCTGGCGCTCGGCTAGAATGCCACTTGCCACTTGGCTTTAAATTTTTAGCAAGTGTCTGGCGTTCGGCTTATAGTGCCAGCTGCCACTTATCTTGCTTAAGTGCCTGGCGCTCGGCTAGAATGCCACTTGCCACTTGGCTTTAAATTTTTAGCAAGTGTCTAGCGTTCGGCTTATAGTGCCAGCTGCCACTTATCTTGCTTAAGTGCCTGGCGCTCGGCTAGAATGCCACTTGCCACTTGGCTTTAAATTTTTAGCAAGTGTCTGGCGTTCGGCTTATAGTGCCAGCTGCCACTTATCTTGCTTAAGTGCCTGGCGCTCGGCTAGAATGCCACTTGCCACTTGGCTTTAAATTTTTAGCAAGTGTCTGACGTTCGGCTTATAGTGCCAGCTGCCACTTATCTTGCTTAAGTGCCTGGCGCTCGGCTAGAATGCCACTTGCCACTTGGCTTTTCATTTTTTAGTAGGCCGTTGGAAAAGAAAGTTATTTTTTTGTAAATTTCAGTAACTTGCACATTCATACGTATTTGATTGACAACAAACAACATCCAATTAAAGCCGAAACTTAGCTTTTATTGGTAGTACCTCTTCAGAGACGTGGCGTTCCAGGGCTTGCTGACCAACCTTCCCGCCATGGTTTCCAACGTATATGCCCCCTTGCCTATGACTTCTGCAATTCTGTATGGGCCTTCCTAGGGTGGCATCATTTTTTTGACCATCCCCACCTTTCTTTTCAGAACCAGATCGCCAGGGGCAAAATCCCTGTGTTTTACTCTTTTGTTGTGACTATTCGCCAATACTTGC